ATCTTCATTTTTACAATACTGTATTTTTCTATTCAAGTTATTTCCAAGCAATCTCAACAGACCCTTGCATAATTATCAACACAATTTGTCGGAAAATGAGTCAACATTGGTTTAGATAACAGGAAATTTATGAACAAATGAATATTTACTGCTCTATTTAAAGTAATGGTCAATAATAGGCATCCTTTAGAGTAAGACGAGCAAGATGATTTGGTATTTGAGTGGAATTGACGTGAATTGTTATAAATATCGTTAAACCACCGATAATTAAAATGCTAATTCCTTTCGACGATGGACATTATTATTAGCGATTTTTTTGCATTATTAAACGTAATTTTTTTATCTCACGTGAGTCTATCAATTGCCTGATTGTTAAATATTCAATTTATCTATTTATGTTTGTTTAAACGTAGAAAAATGGTAAACATTAAGAATGGTACAATATTTAATGGGTGTCCATATTACTCTAGCATACCCTAATTGTTTGTGTAATTTGAATTAAAAAATAGATTTCTTTTAGTTGTTCATGACTACTGACAATATTACAACTAGAATTAGAAATTTATTTCCAGATGCTCATAATCGCGTTGAACGAGAGTAAGAATAGCATTTTATTAATCAAGTTATACAATACCATCATGTGCTCGAATTAGAATATTTATCTCTATTGAAATCAGGTATCTATTTATTCCATCGAAGAATTATTCATATTGACTCCTAGTCGACCAATCTGGATTAACTTCTAAATAAATCCGTATTAAATTTCGGCTACATAATGATCACTTTTTGATCGAATCCTAATTAATCTCTAGCTAAGAGAGGATTCATTCGAAGGCAAATAGTTGATTAATAACAGCATGTATATTCTTTTATAAAAAAAGTTGCCTGAATTTTTTGCTGATCCATTTTTTTTGTCAAGATCGAAATGGGAATGAAGAATCACGAATTGGTGCCAGGGTCCTTGGTAGCACAAATAGCTAATCTTCGTCACGGAGGGGTACACAAGCTCCTAAAGGAACTGAGTAAACACAGACTGGTCAGTTACGAGCGAGGAAAACACTGTAAGTTCAACAATCGTTTAGTTAGAAACAAAAAATTCACAAATAAGGTCAACTCTGATGGAGAAAATCGCAAGTCATCACTCAAGATTCTGTTTTCTATTGTTTTTTTTTCTTCATTCCAAATACTCCTCTATATTTGTAGGTAAACATTACCGCTTCTATTCACAAGAGCATGATGAACTCTAGTTTAATTTCAAGTTACCTCATCTTTGACTATGGGTACTGGTCCAAGGGTACGGTATTACTCTTCTGATCCTTCCTTTTAGAGGTGTATCATCAAAAAAATATATATATCAATTGCAATGGTTTTTAATAAATGAAAAACGCATGATGTGTTATTATATTATAATCATAGCAATGTTCAGAATTGGTCTGGGTTCGCGATGGGGACGTAGCTGGTATAATTCCCACAAAATTAATTTGGATTAATTAGAGGTTTTTCACGTTTTTTGTGTAGGGTAGCTTGTACACATTTACTCAAGTTGTTATTGTCGAAAAATATAAGGTAGTACCTTTTCCTGAATTATTCTCTTCAATTAAAAATTTTCCAGACGATGGGTATCGTTTGACAAACGCTGGCTATGATTACCTGGCACTGAAGGTCTTGGTTTCACGTGGGATAGTCTCGTCCTTTGGAAATCAGATTGGTGTCGGCAAGGAGTCCAACATTTATGTTGTTGCAGACGAGAGAGGGCATCCAGTGTGTCTGAAACTACACAGGCTAGGTAGGACTTG